GTCCTTGTGTTGCTGTGGTGTTTGCTGTCCTAAAAAGAAACAAGCAAGAAATACAGGGCCGTGTAACAGCGTCACTTCTCGTAGGTTTGGCTCCAACCAGTTGCAGCAGAGCAGTCGAGGAGGTTCCTGCAGTGTGTGGAAGACAGCTTCCTGGCTCAGCTGGTTAGTGAATCTGCTGGGGGCATGCCCCACAAGTCCTGCTGTTCATGAACCCAAGAAGAGATGTTGTGGAAGCAGGAGGAAGCCAACGGCATCCTGCCTTGTGTCAGGAATAGTGAAGGCAGCAAGGCCAGGGAGGTGATGCTGCCCCTGTACTCAGCTCTGGTGAGGCTGCACCTCGAGTACTGCGTTCAGTTTTGGGCCCCTCACTACAAGAAGGACATCGAGGCCCTGAAATGTGTCCAGAGAAGGGCTGCGAAGCTGGTGAAGTAGTGGGGTCACCATCCCTGGGGGTGTTTACAGAAAGGCTGGAAGTGATACTTAGGGACATGGTTTAGTGGGTGATAGTGGTGGGAGGGGGGTGGTTGGACCAGATGATCCTGGAGGGCTTTTCCAACCTTAATGATTCTATGACTCTGTGACTGACAAAATAACAGTTGCAGAAATCAAGAGAAATAATATTTTTTTAAAATCAGAACAGAAGAATTTGCTTTCCTTCTTTATTTCAACATAGTATGGTGGCAGATTGCTCTCTTGGCCAAGCTGTCATCCCAAGAAAGGCTCCAAAAATTTTTAAGCCATTTTTTTTTTTATCATGTTGGTGTCTAGCCTATTTTACATACTCATTTTCAATATGTTTTTAACCAGATATGAATGCGTAAATATATATCTTCCCTATGTATGTTAGATTCTCCTTTTTATTACAACCATGTGCTATGTCTGATGGTTAACCAAAAGCGATTGATAGAAGTGATGGAGTTTGGCCTCCCACTGAGGTCGGAGGGCACCTCTGGAGCTCTCTGGTCCAACCTTGGGCCAGCTTACACCGGCTCTCTCAAGTCCTCAGGCTTGAATTTCTTCAAAACTTGAGCATTTTGATTCTGTCCACAATCCTTATGGATTTCAAACGGGTCTGGTGGGACTTTTTTAAGGTCTTCAAGCTCTGGGTCTGTTCTGCTGAGCCCTGTGGTGGGCTCTGGTGCTGCCCTCGGCTTGCTCCCACCACCTGCTCCCACCGAGTGACTTGAGGAAATGTCGCAGCTTGTCCCAACGAGCCAATATTTGCTATTTTTAGGCATCTGTTGGCTTGAACAGCTTTCCATTTGCATTAGCAATAGAAGAAATCTCCCTGCCAGGTTGGTGATAATTGCGAAGTGATCACCCAAATTTGGAAGGATTTATGACTGGTGATTTGCTCGGCTATTTTGATGATTAATTTCCAGCATAATTCTTTCCACCCAAAAAAGCACCGCCTGGGCCTGCTTCTGTGGGTGCTGTAAAAATTCATCCCGCTCTTGGCAGCCAGGCCAGACTATTAAATATAGATGCCAGTTTGCATTTAATATTCATAGCTATTAAAAGTGAGGAAAGCAGATGAGTTTTTTGGAGCCAACGTGGAAATTGCTCCAGAATTGCTCCAAAGGAGTGGCCGGGGATCAGCACTGCGATAATTCCTGATGGGGAAGGCTCCCAGTTCTGCACCGGGGTGGTGGCAGCAGGGAGAGCGGTTTTAGGAGGACCAGAGGGACAGACAGAGCCTCCTGGTGCAGTGAGTGTGATTTCCACGGTGCTTTTTTGCCTGTCATCGCCTCCGCCAAGGTTGGCTTTGGTGCTCGCCTGCCCTCACAGACCTTCTCTGTACTGCCTGGGGAGGAGAAGAGGCTCCTGTCAAAGTGGCGTGGGATTTCTCGGAGATGCTCCTATTGAAACACCTTAGGATTTCTCCTGTGTTTACCTACAAAGCGCCTTGACAGGTATGGGAAAAGTCAGGAGCAACAAGGGGTAGAGCTGCAAAACAGAAGTCCGGGTCTGGAAAATTGCTCGCTTCACATTGAGCTTTGCAGCATCATCCCCCATCGTGTTTCTTTGTGCCCTCCCCAAAACCAGGAGACGTCAAAAGAAAAAAAAAAAGTCAAAACAAACATAAAATCCCACCAAGCTCAACATAAAAGCTTGCTTTAAGGAAGCCAAACCAAAGCTCTCCAGCCCCAGAGAACAGCGCGACTCCTGCAGCATGGGCTGGGCAGGAGGAAGGCGAGGAACAGGGGGACAGGGGCTGTGGTTCTCGAGGTCACCCCCAGGCAGAGGGAATCAGGTGCTGTGGCTGGTGGTGATTTGGCAACCAACATCTCCCTGGGTGCTTGCTGCCGAGGCCAGGTGAAGGCGCTGGTGGTCAGAGCCCCAAAATGAGGTGGGAGAAGTGCCCCTAACTCCCTGCCTAGAAGAGCACTGAGCTTTCCTCCTCGTTATTGCTTCGAGCAGCTCGTTAGCCCTGCAGAGTTCGTTAAAACCACTGACACCATTCACTCCAGGCTTACTCTGTGATCCGTTGCAAAGTTTGAAGCCTCCACCTCAACGTTTTGGTGGTGTTGGCAGCAGCCAATGTGCCGGAGCCCCTCTCCAAGCCACGCAGGAGCAGCGCATTTGCTGTTTTAGCATCCTTCATGTGTCAGCGTGGTCGCTTGTGCCTTCAGGTTTCTGGGGGCACCCGGCTGGTGGGAGGGGGCTTCGTGCCTGGGGAACGTGCCTTCGTGCACGGTGTGGAGGGGTCCCTGGCCACTCCCCTGCCACCTCCAGTGTCACCAGTGTCCCTGGAAGACTGCAGCACAGAGAAGTACCTCTCCTTCCAGCCCGTGTGCAGCTTTCCACCAGCACTGGGGAAACAGCAAGCGGTATTGAGCTGAGGGAAGCTCAGGGGGCAGAAAATAGGGATGTAAAGGGAGCCTTACCGGGCTCCTCGTGAGCTGGTGCTGCAGGCGCCGAGGGCTGGTGTTGCTCTCCGGGGCTGCTGGGCTGAGAAACAGCCCGAGGAGGCTTACGGCCGCCGGCTGCTGATCCATTTTACGCAGCTTAAATAGCATCAGGGCTCCAAAAATAATCCTCCAAGCTTGCAGCGAGGCTGCCTGTTCCTATAGCAACTGGTTCATGCCAGTGCCCTACAAACGAAAAGCAAAACAGATTTCCTTTAAGTTCGGTCACAAGTCAAAACAAAGTACGGAAGAGGGAACGAAAGGGTTGTAGGGGGCCCTTTGTAGTGCACGAAGGAAGCACGGGCAGCAAAATGAAAGCTGCTTGTGGTCCTGGGGCAGGTGGGCTGTGAATTTGGGGTCTTGGCCACGCGGTGGTGAAGGCGCAGGGCTGCTGCTATCGCCCCACCTGCGCTCCGAGCTCCCCAGCAGCAGGGGCTATTGGTTTATGCAGTTCCTGAGGGCATTTGTAAGCCCAGGTCGCTGAAATTGGGAAGCCCCCTGTGGGGTGAGGTTGCTGGGCAGGTGCTGGGCGGGTTTGGGGCAGTTTTTGTCCTCAACGATGAGACCTGAATGGTCTCTGTCTCCATGGGTGTTTCCTGATCCCCGGGGTGTCTCACCACGTACTTCAGCAAACCTTGGGCTGTTCTCCCCCAGGTGGGAAGCGATGGCTGAGAAGGGGCCGATGCCAGCACAGGGTCCAACCCTGTCCCCAAAACTTTTCCTGGTGGCACCAAGAAACCAGCTGGGAAGAGGCTGGCTTTGCCTGACCCTACTGCTTTTGGGTACCAGCCGGTACCCCGCTGGGCTGGGGTCTTGCAGGGCTTCGGGGGGTCCCAGTGGTCATGGCCAGGGGCTGGAGCTGTGTCCTCGGAGTCGGCTCCACTCCAGTGAGTGCCGGAGGTGGTCTGGGGGCTCTGCACAAATTTTTGTCCTTTAGCTCGCTCTGATTTAATCGTCACCATGCCTCCATGTTTCCTTCTTCCCGTGCGCTGATTTCAGTTAATTACAGCAAATTATGTTGCTGGTGAGCGGATGTTTGTATTTTACCGTGACTTACAGGGTTTGAGCTGGGTCTCTGAGCTCAGGCACTCCCAGGTGCTGTGTAAGAGGGAAGGGGAGGAACATTCCCCCGGGACAGCCTTGGCTGAGGGGTCCCTGGCTGAGCACAAGGAGCAGCACCTGCAGGCAGCACGGTCGGACCCAGGATTTGTCTGATTCTGTGCAGTGGAGAGAAGATGGGGACGGGGGGAATTTGGGGGTTAAATGCTGCCTGGGGGCAGGCAGAAAGATGCTTCCTGCTGCTCGGCACTCCTACAGCGCAGTTTTGGCAGTTTTTGTGAATAGCTGAGGTTGCCTTTGGGAAGTATCGCTCGCGTCTGCAAACAGGAGAATCCCAGATCGGGTTCTTCCCCTGGAGCCACGCAGAAGTAATGGTGTTTTGTGGTAGCTGCCTGGTGTCCGTGATGGAAAAGTTTGGGAAATGGAAAAGCAGCCCCCAGGGGGGATTTGGTTACTTTTCCTTACTGATGGCTTCAGTTTTGCTGCTGGCTGTTGAAGTCGGTTTTCTGGAGCTGCAGCTGTAACCATCCCCGTTGTACCTGACTGGGTGCTGATCACGGCTTTCTGCCCGCTGCAGGGGGGAAGGTTTGGGGCAGAGGCAGTTTTTAGGACCAGTCCCTTGGGTGAAATGGATTTCTCTGGCACAGCGCGCTCCTGGCAGCGCCAGCGGCTCCACTTGGAGACGTGTACAAGGAGAGGGGCCGCCTCCCCAGGTGTCACCCCCATCCCTCAGCCTTAGCAGCCCTGAGAGTCCCGGTGGCAGCAGCAGGAGCCCTCCTGACACCTTGGGGTGCTGTCCCAGGTTGCTGTCAGTGCCGGGCTCCGCGTCCCAGCAGCAGAGGGATGCCAGCGGGGTGGCCAAGCAGGGGGTCAGGGCTGGGCTCGTGCCCTTCCCTCTGCCCCGACGCATCCCTGCCTGCGTGGAGGAGGCGGCAGGAGGCAGGAGGTCCCCCTGCCCGCTGGTACAGTCCAGGGGTAACCATGGAAACTGTTTTTTTTTTTTTTTTTTTTTCTCCATCCCTCCCTTTGCAGATGACTCGGGCGACGAGGAGCCCGCCTCGCAGTCAGACAAGAGCGAGCTGCACGGCACGCTGAAAACCCTCTCGAGCAAGCTGGAGGACCTGAGCACATGCAATGACCTGATCGCCAAGCACGGGGCCGCCCTGCAGCGCTCCCTCAGCGAGCTGGAGAACCTGAAGCTGCCGGCCGAGAGCGGCGAGAAGATCAAGGCGGTGAACGAGCGAGCCACGCTCTTCCGCATCACCTCCAATGCTATGATCAACGTGAGTGCTGCCGCGTTCGCGAGCAGGCAGGGCGAGGCTTTTTCTCCTCCTACTCCTCTTCTTCCTTTGCCTTTCCCCTCTTGCACGGGCGCCGAACCTCTCCAAACTGCCCGCGGAGCGCGGCAAAGCAAAGGTTTGGGGTGCTGGGGGCTTTTTGGCCACCGCTGGCCGCGGCTTGCAGGCTGGCACGGCGATTCAGAGCCTGCTGCAGGTTCAGAGCCAAGTCCCTCTGTCGCTTGTGCTGGCTTCCCACCCGCTTTTGGATGGCTTCTGGTGGGACGTGGGGCTCGTGGGGCTGCCTCTGTTGGAGCGAAGCAGCTCCTCCTGGGAGCGCCGGCTTCCCTGGGGAGGGGAGGAGAGAGCAAAAGGACATAAAATATTGAAAGGGAAAAAGGAAATCGAAGCCTGACAGGCACGGAATAACATACGAAGGCAGAGCTCGGGGAATCGCCGAGGTAGCGGCGCTGTCCCAGCCCTGATGAGCGGAAAGGAGGCCGCGTGTCACTCTGTGTGTGCTCAGAGGAATAATCAGCCCGGCGGCTGCACACCGGGTGCTCACTGGGGAGAGGCTTTCCTGAGCTGGGGTCCCCATGCAGCGCTGCTGCTGCTGCTGCCCCGAGTTCCTCCGAGTTTCGGTGTGCCAGCAGGAGGTGAGGGGGTGCAGGAGCAGCTGGGGAGGGGGCTTTGGCAGCAACCCCTCGGGAAGGGGCGATACCTGCTGCCTCGGCGTGGGTTGGTGAGTCCAAAACACGGAGTAAGAGGGGCTGTGGTGCTGGGGGTGTCCGGGGTGTGTTTCAGCAGTGTCCTTTTCTGTGTTTGCTGAGCCGCTGGGGGAGATGCCAGAAGGGAAGAGGGAAGAAACAGGACGGGAGCAGGGTGGCAGCATTTGGGGGTGCTTGCGGCTCTCCCTGCTTCCTGCTGAGCCCCTTGTTCTGCGGAGAGGGGACAGGGCCAGGAGCAGAGCCCAACCCCATGCAGCTGGGACCCCCGGGACAGGTGGAGAGAGCTGCTGGTACAGCCTCTATATGCACCCCAGGAGCATTTCTGCACCTCCATTTACCCTGTTGGCACGGGGTGATGCCCTCTGGGCTGTCAGCCCCTGCTACAGCCTCTCCTGGGGCAGGGGTGGCTCTGAGCACCGCAGAGCCACCGAAACCTTCCAGATGGGAACGTTAAACCTCGCTATGGAAAAGCACCCGGGACCAAGCCATCTCCTGGCAGTAGCAGGGAGGATGCTCTCTGCGTGCCCACGTGGGTCCTGGCAGGCCCCTCGGGACCACGCGAGCTGCTTTCGGCATACAAATGGCTCTGTGGGGTCTGTCTCTGATTTGGGATTGGGTATGGGATGGGGTCGTCCAGGCATGCGTCCCGGTCCCGTTTCCACCCGGCTGCGTACAATGGGATTATGTAAATGTCCCCACCCCGTGGGGGGCAGCAGCAGGCAAGTAGAAATAAGTAAATACATATGTAAATACTACAGCTCTGCTGGTAAAAGGTGACCTCCGCGCTGCAACCGCGCCGTGCTGGGGGTCTGGGTGCCCTCTGCAGTCCCCCCTTCTCCTTGGGAGGTCGTCCCCCTGGGCTCCTGCGCGAGGGATAACGGGGAGGTTCGGGCAGGGTGGAGCAGGAGGTGCCGGATCTTTGTGGTCCTGGGGAGGATTGGAAAGGCAGCGGGACAGCCCTAAAATCTCCAAAATCTGCGCACAGACCTCCGGCAGCTGCCCGTTCGCTCCTCTCCGTCCTTCTTTTTGAAGCCTTGCAGTAATAACGCACCGGGCGAGACACGTGGGAGAGCTCGGCCCAGCCGATGCCTGGAGCTGGAGGAGCGACAGCAACGCGGAGCCACAGAAAAGCAATCTGCCGTGGGGGAGGAGTGGGAGGTACGTCAAAATAAGAGGAAACAAACGAAAGGGGGTAATTGGAGGAGCAGAGACAAAGAGCCCAGTGCTGAGCGGCGTGGACGCGATGCCAAGCGGCGCGGAAAGCTCCCGGCTCGGGATTCGGCAGCGGGCGGGGGCCCCGTGCACGTGGTGAGGAAGCGACTCGGGGAGCTCGAAATGTTGAGGGTGCTGCTTGAAAGAGGCTTTGAAAGGGAGCGGGGTTTGGCTCCGGAAGAGCTCCAAGGCGGCTGAGCCACATGGAAGCGTGCGACACCCGCTCTCCTCCTTCTCCTTTGTGCTTTTTTAGGGCTGGTGTGAGCACAGGGAGCGGCAGGGCTTGGCTGGGCTGTGTTTCGCTGCGGGGCTGGTGCCGTACCTCGAGGCTAGGGAGCAGCCCGGCAGGAGGAGGAGGATGAGGAGGAGGAAGAGAGGGCAGGGGGAGGAAGGCTCAGCCACGCAGGCACAGCCCGTGCGAGGAGGGCGAGGGTGCGGTGCTACCCGCGAGATGTTGAGGTGTTGGGTTTGGGGACGAGATTTGTGTGGGGCAGGTGGACACAGGGACCCGAAGGACTCCGCCGCTGTCCCTACAAGAGGCTCCAGGCTGATCCCCAGCACGGATTTCCCCTTCCCACAGCAACAAAGCCACCCAGAGTGTTGCCACCCTCTCCGTGACCCCACAAAGGATGCGCTTCCCCTGAGCTGCTCTGTGCTCCGGTGCCAGCCCTGCCCAAATTCACGGCTGTTGCAGTGCCGTGAGCCTCCTGTGGCCCCGTGGGGACGGTGGTGTGATTAATCTCCGCTCCTAAAACTGCCTCAGCGTTAAAGCACTGATGTGGGGCACGTGCTCCGAGCGGCGCTGGGCTCAGCCCAGCAGCCTCCAGCCTCGTGCAGCGTTTTTGTGGCTTTGGCGGTAGCTTAACCCCTGCCTGTGCTGCTACACACCAGGTACCTCCACACCAGCACATCCGTGCTCGCTTCCTTCCTTTCCCTGCCTCCTGGGCTGCCCTGGGTGGCTCTGAGGACGAGGGCAGCGTGCTGGGACCCTGCTGCCCCTTGGGATCCCCTAATTCATCCCAGGCACGACAGGAGGATGGATCCCACCTCCTCTCTGCCCTCCCAGAGCAGCTTTCCGGGCACCCGTGGGGCTGGAGGAGCTGCACATCCCTACAGAACTGGTGCTAACACAGGTGCAGCAGCGAGCACGTTGCCATCCTTGCTCCTGGGGCTGCTTCCTTATGGGCAAAAATCACCCTCCTGCCTAAAACCCGAACCTAAAACCTGAGCTGCTCCCACCTGGGCCTGTTGCGGCGGTGAAGGTGCAGGAGGAGCCCGGTTAATTATCCGTGCTGCGCCGCTCCGTCTGCTCTAATCAGCGCATCGAAAACCACATCAGTGACCCAGAAAGCCCGTGGCTTTGCGATTAAATCCCTAACCCGGCCCTAATCCCGGGCAGACGAGGAGGCAGCGGTGAGGGGTCTGTGTTGCTGAGGATGCTGATGAACAAGTCACTGGGGGGGCTGCTTGTTTGGTGACCCTCCAGCTGGGCTTGGCGCTGTGACCCGGTTCCCCGGGGTCGCTGAGGCCTCCCGCCCTCTTATTTGACCCTCAGACCTTGCATGTGGCCGTGGGACTTGGTGTAAATTCCGAGTTTGGGGCTTTCAGGTGGTGCTCTTGGAGCTGCTGCTCCTGCAGGTGGCTTTGTCCTCACCATGGCGTGGGGCTTCGCGCCTCTCCTCCACCTCCTCCTCCTCCTCGCCGTGTCCATCTGACCTCTGAGAGGTTTCGGTCTCCATCCCAGGACTCCTTGGACACTGGGATGAGAAGCTGGGGGCCGTGCCTCTCCCCAGCACCCCCGCACACCTCTTGCAGCTCTGCCCTCCTGTTTTTTTCAGCTCTGCGATAACTCCTCTCCTGCAGCTTCAGAGAAGGAGAGCTCTGAGTGTTTCTGCCCAGGCAGCTGGTGGGTGACAGGGGCTGATTTCTGCTGTCTGAGCACCTCAGAGACCAGCCTTACCCCATCAGAAATGCCCCATGTTGCTGCAGGACCACCCAGCCAGGCTGATCTGCCCGGGAGGAAGCTGTGGCACCGGGCAGTGCTGGAGACGAGTGCGACAAGGGAGGGAAAGCTGCTGCTGGGGAAGCCGCTGGCACCCAGGGCTGCTCCTCGCGGTCTTGTGCAGCAGAGTGCCCGGCCGAGCGCCCTGTGGAGCCCGGTATGGGCACACACACGTGGCATGGGGCCAAAACCAAGGGATGAAATGAAGTGGGGCCTCCAGGGCCCGGGGCTGGAGCTGCCCGTGGGCAGTGGACCGGCGTCCTTCCAGTCTGGAGTTCTCTCTGTCAGAGAAAAGCAGCAGCCAGCAACAGGCAGGAGCCTGTTAGATCTGTCTGTGCGCACCCTCTTTGCAGGATGGAGCTGTCAAAGCGTGCTGAGGCTGGGGTCAGATCCCCGCATGTGCTGAGCGCCGGCACAGGTACCCCCTTCCCTCCCCTACAGCGTTTCACCCAAGGCAGGGGCTGAAGCAGCAGCCTGACAACTCACCAGCCTGGCTCTGTTTAACCATGAAGGCGTTTGGGACTGCTTGGAGGGCAGGGCAAGCCCAGGGGATGAGGTCTGGGATGAGATCTGGCCTTCCTGGGCCCTTTGGCTGAGGCTGGACAGAGCTGGGGAGCAGAAACCTGCTCTGGGGGCCGGGTCCCCACTCTGGATTTGGTGGTGCGGGTACCAGAGAGGAAGGAAGCGACCGCAGCGTGCAGCTGGAGGGATCTGGCTGCCGGGCAGTGAGAGCCTCTGGAAGGAAAGCCGAGGACGTGAGTGTTCCCAAAGGAGAGCAGCAAAGCCCTACAAGGGAGCCCTTCATGGCAGCCTGGCTCTGTGGGGTCTCAGCTCCCCATGCACCTTCCTGCCTGACACCACGTGGCCCTGGCACGGCTGACGGGGCTGCGGTGCTGCCTGGCTCGGTTCGGGGCCAAAGCATTGCGCAAATGCCTTCGTTGTTTTTCTGCCAGAGAGCAGCGCTTTGGAAAGCAAACCACAGGGCTCCTGTCCCGCCGAGGACGCGGCGGTGATGGGCTCAGCAGCCTGCGTGCCCGAGGGATCGCAGGAGCCTCCGTTAACGCAGCTGCACCCAGGGATTTGCCACCGGCTCCACGCTAATCCTCTCGGCGGTGAGGGCTGGATTACACGGCCGGGGCTGCAGACAGGAGCCAGCCGTGGAGCCAGGGCCGGCCCCAGCTGCTTGGACCTGGGCTGAGGTTGGTTTGAGGGGCTTCAGAGGGGGCTTAGCGGAGGGGGTACGGGGTGAATGCTGCTGTTAACCTGAAGAGCAGCTCTTCTGCTTTATGGGGCCAAATCAGCAGTCCTTGCGCCTGCCAGTCGAGAGCCTCGGTTGCCTTGAACTTCATCCGAGCTGCTGTGGGATGCGGGTGCTGGCAGGGACCTGCTGGGGGTCCTCCTGCAGGACCAGCAGCGTTTTGGGGGCATGTTGGGCGAGCGCTGGGTTCTGGCGGAGACACCGCTGTTGGCGCGGTGCTGTGCGTGCTGCAGGGCTGGACCAGCTCTGGCTGCTCTCATGTCTCTCCACCATGTCTGGTTGCCATCCGGCTGCTTATGCGAGCTGGTTTGGGATCCAGGCCGGCTCTGTCCTTGCTTTTTTTCCCTTTTGCTTTGTGCTCAGTGTTGGGGGGAAGAGGGAGGGAAGACAAATTAACCCTCTGCCTGTGCTAATGCTGTGCACATCTCCCTGCTCGCAATGCCAAGTGCTGAATTTTATGCTGCGCCCCACGACTGGGGCGCTGACGTGATGGTAATGTGTTCTGAGCTAAAAAGAGGATGAGAAATGGCCCTTCCCCTGGGATATTTTCTGGTAAGCAGCAGCAGCGCAGCTGTGTCCCTGGGTTTTGATGAGCCCAGGAAGGAAGGGAGCACTTATCTACGCAGCACCAGAAGCGTGCAGAGCAGCAAGATGCTCTTTCCTGCGATGAATGAAGCAGCAGCCCTCGCTGCACAAAGCACCTTTGAAAGGGAGATGATTGAGTGCAGCTGGCAGTTCCCTTCTCCCACGTCACGCCCGGGCAATGGAGCAATGCGTGTCCCGAGCGATGCTTTGTCTCCACGCTCTGTGTCTCTCCTGCTGACCCGCTGAGGTCCCAGGTGCCTGCGGGTGTGTGGCACTGACACCCCAGCAGGACGCGGGTGACCTCGGGTGATGGCTTCCAGCTACATAAATCCTCTGCGGGACATTAACGATGCTCCTGTTGGGCTGCAACAAGCTGTGAAATCTGGTGTGCGTGCTGTGACGAGCGCGTGAGCCGTGCCGGAGCATCCTGACTGTGGTGGCATTCGCCCCCTGCTCCCTGGGGGAGTCTCGATGGCATCCTGCCTCCCTCCGCAGGGATCTGCAGGAGCCTGGAGGGCGCTTTTCCAGCGTACCTTTATGGGGATTTGCAGCCCAGCACTGAGTTAGGATGGAGTGCCAAACCTTGTGCTAGCTGCGGAGGGAAGAGCCCTCTGCCTCTTCTGTGGCACTGGGAAGGGGCAGTCCTCCTCGCCCGGCCTTCAGCAGGGCTGCTTCCTCCCTGGTTATTTTCAGACACGCTTGTGGAGTACAGAGGGTGCTGGCTCCGTGCTGTGAGGATGCCAAGAAGCGATCGGGTCTCGGGGCTGTGAGGTTGGAGGCTGGGGCTGGGGCTTCGCGCCAAGCTCACAGCGAGGATGGGGGCACGGTGCGGCCCTTCCTGCACCCCCTTTGCCCCTCTGTAACCTGGAGGATTAAAACCAGACTCCTAGCAGAGTGTGGTGCTGCGTGGGATGGGAACAGCAGCCCCTCTGCTGGCCTCTCCCTGCCTTGCTGGAGATTTGGGCATCGGCGTGCTGAAATACAGCTGCTGTGTCAGGGCATATGGGGCACAACGTGCTCAGCCCCGGGCGAGCTCTGCAGATGGCTGCGATAGCCACAGGACGCCTGCGCCCTCTGCTAAAGCACATCTTGTGCCTCTGCCCTGTTGGGGAATTGCTTCTGGTTTGCTTTCATCCTGCAAACTCTTCCTGCGCTCTCCCATGCGGTGCCTTCACCTGAGGGCCTCTCGCCCGCTGACCTCTGTGGGAAGGGCTGCTCTCCCCACACCGTGTGGATTTGCAGCTCTGTCTCACTCACAATCCAGCTCAGGTTCAGCCCTAGCTAAATTTAGCCGCCGCTCTGTCAGGGTTTTTATAAGCTGGATTTCGCCGCGTTGCTCCCGAGAAAGCCCCGCTGGCTGCGATTGTCTGCACCTTCGGAGTGCCGAGGGATTAACGAAATGAATGGGCCGTGACCCAGGCTGCTGGCACCTCGGGTTCGTGTCCCCTGTGCTCACCCTGACCCGTGCCAGGACTGCTCTGAGGCAGCAGCTCGCTGCCCTGCACTGTCACCACAGTGAAATCAGTGACCGGGGCCACCCCTCTGCTCCCCGGCCACCTCCTCGCACGGTGACAGCCCCGTGAAGTCACCCCTGGGGGAGAGGGGACAGCCACCAGCAGGCGTGGAAGCAGCAATGTGATGCCCATGAGTGGTGAAGCGCGTGGTGCCAGCGCTGCCATCACCCATTTGAGGTAGGGTAAGGACAGGGCAGGTAAGGACAGGGCACTGCTGGTGAGGATGGGGCTGTGGGACGGATCCGTGGGGCAGGCTGGTGCCACCAGGGCAGCATCTCCCTGCCTTGGTGTCCTGCGAGCAGGGCACGTCGAGCTGCACCCGCGGCTGCTTCGTGGTGCCCCCTGCTCATGGCTCTTTGTCTTGGGGAGAGGCAGAGCTGCTCCGGGCTCCAGCCGGCGCTGCTGCCTTAACGCAACACCTGCACGTCCCCGCAGCAGCTGGCTTGTCGCCACCAAAGGTTTGGACAGCCTAAATGGTGACAAATGACCCCTGAAAGTGCTGATTTAGGGACTAGAGAGAGGCAGGAGGAGCCTGGGGAGACCTGCCCAGACTCTGCACCCGTCAGCGGCTCAGGGGTGCGGCTGCTGTCGCAGCTTGGGCTCCGGGTGCCTTTTGGCACCTCTCTAAGGTGTAAGAGCAAAGGAATAACTTGAGTTTGCCTGGCTGCTGCTTGCAGCTGGGGGTGTGGGCGTTGGGTCGCAGCGGGATCATGCCTGGAGATCTCCTGGCGCATCGTTTTAAAGGGCTCAGCCCCTGAGCAGGGCCAGCTGGCACCTCCCTACCCGCTGCCCACGATCTGGGACCTTCCGAGCAGGTAATGAGCTTTCTGGGCTGGCAAGGTCGCGGCCGCTATCTCATTACTTGCCCTTCTGCTTTCATCCTCTTACTGCAAGGCATCAGCGTAATAAAAGAGCCGAGCCTGCCAGCTCGGGGCACGGTTTGCTTTGCACTGGTGCCGACGAGGTTTGGGAAGGTGCAGGGAGGGGAGCAGAGGGATTTTCTTGGAGGCTTCAGACATGGGGATGAGGAAACCCGGAGCGGTCCCATCTGGCTGGGGGACGTGGGGTGGGTGCAGGGGACCCGCACAGGGGAACATTTATGGAGCTCATGTGCGTGTGGGTCTGTGTGGCTGTGCCCGAGGCTTTATAAATCCCCCCCAGTTGGTTTGATGCTGGCTGTTGGGATGTTGGCACACATGTCCATCACCTGCGTCTTCCTACGTAGCTGTGGGACGTTTATTCCCTCTGCTTTGGGCTGCTTCACCTGGAGCACAAAAGCTGCTGCTCCGTGCTGCATCGTTTCCGATGCTGTCAAACTTCTCTCCCTGGATGAGACTCAAATCCTGCCCCCATCCGCAGGTTTGCTGGAAACCTGCAGAGTCAGAGCTTTTCTTGGGCAGATCCTGGGAAAACCTGGGGCTGCGTTACGGGAGCTGAAGCCCTGCTGTTGCTTGGAGGTAACTCGGCGTTCAGGTGCCATCTGCCAGCCCGAAAGAGCTGAATAAGTAACCTGTGAAATCCGAGTGGATGCAAAGGTTGTAAATAACCGAGGCTTGCGGATGGTGGAAAGGCAGACCCTCAAAATTCCCCGCTTTGTCATTGAATTGCTTGGAGCTCCTGCACGGTGGTGAGCACATGGTGGGGCCAGCAGGGCTTTTGGCCTTGGGCAGGGGCTGTGGCTCCCTGCGTGAGCGTCCCCCGCTTTGTGGTTGTCACCCATTGCCCTGCCTGGCTTCTCCGTGCCTTCAGGAGCATGGTCGGAGGTGGCTGCTTGGGGTCTGGGGGCATCCCTGTCTGTGTAAGCTCAGCTGGGGCTCCCTGACCCCAAGGGCCCCGTCTGCATTGCCTCCATCTCCGAGGAGGTTCGGGTTTGGGTTCGGACGGTCAGGGCCGGACTGTTTGCAACCCCAAGGACGCGGGGATGACATTTCTCCCGTGACAAGCTCCCAGCTGACGTCTCCCTTCCTTCCCTCCAGGCTTGCCGCGATTTCCTGGACTTAGCAGAGACTCACAGCCGAAAATGGCAGCGGGCGCTGCAGTATGAGCGGGAGCAGAGGATCCGGCTGGAGGAGACCATCGAGCAGCTAGCCAAGCAGCACAACAGCTTGGAGAGAGCCTGCCGCGGGGCCCCGGGCAGCGCGGGCAGCACCGGCACCGCCAAGGGTGAGCCAGGACAGGGCAGAGCCACAATGTTGGGAAGGGGAGGATGTGTGCCCGTTGTGTTTGCTTTTACAGAGCCCGTTGCCCCGTAGTTGTCCCTAATTGTCCTGTTGCTCCTTGCTTGGGGACTTGGATCTCCCCAAACCTCAGGATGTGGTTGCAGGAGAGGGCTGTGCCCCCAGAGCTTGGCTTGCTTCTGCTATCTCAGGCTGGCTTGGCAGCCTTCTCCCTTACCCTTGGGAGCATCTCAGGCTGTTGCAGATGAAACCTGGGGTCCCCAGGGCCACCGAGGTCACGGCTGTGGGGTGGCGCTGTCCCAGCCGGGACTCTACTGTTTGCAAAAGTTATTTATTGGGCAATAAAATCTAACAGCTTTGGCTAGTAGTGCCAAATCTCCTTCCCTGCAGGAGATGTTAGTTACAGCCTGGTAGCCAAGAGCTGCAAGCAGAGCCGAGTCTTGTTTTAAAAGGATTTATGGCCCCAAGGGGAGAAGCGAGCTGCTGCTGGAGGGGTGAAGGTGGTGCCGGGGAGTCTGTCTGAACAACACCTGAAACATTTGGCTTTTTTTTTTTTTTTTTTCTGTTTTAACCCAAACCGGATTTCCTGGCAGATGCTGGAGCAGGAGCTGGCTGGGTGGCCTGGTGACACTTTGGAGGTGGCTCTGAGTGTGGCAGGGGAGCCTTGCGTGCCTCGACTGGGGGCAGGATGCAAACTGGGGGGCACATTCCTGGTTTTAGGAGCTGGAAACCAGCACGACAACCTCTCCTTGTGGAGGAGAATGGAGAGGAGGGGTCCGTGCAAGGAAGGCTGGTGTGAGATAACCTGCGAAGGAAGCCTGTGTTGGACACAGCAGGAGGAGGACACTGGGGACAGCAGTGACACTTGTGCTCGATGGGTTCCAAAGGGGACTGGCAGCAACTGAGCATCTCGAACCCTTTGTGCCCACAGGGAGTGTGCAGTCCTCAAAAGGAGAGGCCAGTGACGAAGATGAAGAGACGGAGTATTTTGATGCCATGGAGGATGCACCAGCTTTTATCACTGTAACCGCAGACCCCAAGCACCACAGGTACGAGCCCCTGCCCCGGGGCATGGTGAAGCCCCCTGAGCATGTGGCAAGAGTTTGCCTGGTGTTGTGCTTAGGCTTTAGAGCAGCCTCCCCTCCTGAGGGGGAGTGACCCACGTGTGCACATCTCTCAGCCCTCTCTGATGCCCACACTCGGCCTCTATCACCCCGTTGCCTTCCTGACAGCACCCTGGGTGGTGGAGGGAGATGCTCCTGCTGGTGATGGCTGAGCAGCACTGCCCCAGCTCCTCTCTCCCCTTCTCTGCCCTTTCTCACCTTTAGCATTTGGCCTTTTTTTCCCCGCAGGCGTTCGGGCAGTAACCTGAGCGGGGCCAGCGAGGGGCACCCCGAGGACTGGAACCTGGAGGACAGCGTGAGTTGGCTGGGCAGGGTGGGAGATGAAATCTGAAATGCAGGGAGAGGAGGAGTGAGTGCGGCTTAGACCTGTGCATCCGTTGCTTCTGCAGGTCTTTGAAAGCTCAAATCAAAGCAGCTACAATGAGTCTTGCAAAGATCTCCTGCCGAAGAAAAGGAGGCGGACCCGCATCCCCGACAAACCCAACTACAGCCTTAACCTCTGGAGCATCATGAAGAACTGCATCGGCAAGGAGCTGTCCAAGATCCCCATGCCCGTAAGTGAGCCCCGAGAGCTTGCTGCCACGATGCAGGTGCCAAGCTGAAGGTTTGGTTTGCTGCAGAGATTTAAATTATTGCTCCTGGTGGTGCTGCAGGGGTTGTGGCAGCACAGCAGCCTCCGCGCAGGCTGGAGAGCATGTCACCAACTGGCACACCCGTCCTGGCTGCGGTTTGGTTGCTCTTGAAATTGTCCACTGCTATGAGGAGCCAGCACAGCCAGAAAGCACAAGCAGCCAGGCAGGAGGAGTCTGTCCTCAGCAGCATGGAGCTGTGCTGCTAATTGCTTTGCGGTAAATGGCTCCGACGTCATGGCTGTTGCATTAGGGTCTGTTTGAACCTGGTTGGGACTGATCCCTTTTCAAGCTGGAGCAGAGAGACATTGCCTGAATGTCCTCTGCAAACCCAACCAGTGCAGAGGCAAGGAGAGAACTGGGGCATCTTGAATCCCTGTGTGTTCAAGCATTTCACCCAGGGGCCAGGAGGAGAGACCTTGCTGCTGATCACACTTTCCCCTGTGTGAATCTGGGGACATGATGCTGGGTGAGCAGCCCTGCGTACCCTTCTGTGTTCTGTACCAGCAGCGTGTTTCATCCAGGGACTCAAAGTACCTTTATTTTCCTTGCAAAGAGCTCCCTTGCAGCGCAGGAGGTGGAACCTGTATGGAACAGCCCTGTACAGGCTGCTGCTTTGCCAGCAGGTCTCGGCCAGCCCCGTAAGCGGCATGGGTGCCACCGCAAGTACTCTGCTTCCCTGAACCCCATGAAATCCTGGCAAGCTTGGGAGAATACATCTTATTTCTCAGAACAGTACCTGACGCGCTCGGAGAAAAAGACGTGTTCATCTCTTCCTTGGGCCATGTCCAGCTGAGATCTGCAGCCCGTTGCTGTCCGTTAGCATTTCTGCCAAAACATCAATATCAGATAGAGGCGTGACGGGCACAGAAATAAGTTCAGGATGTGGAATACCAGCAGCTGTGGCGCCGACAGAGAGGAGCTAGCTACCTCCCCTCCCCATCGAGCCGTTCCGGGAGCTGCTGAGCAGAGCCAAAGCCTGCTGGAGGGCTGCAGCTCCTCCATCCCTTTTTGGGGCAGGTGGGTGGGTTTCCCAGCAAGTGTTCAACAGAGCCACGAGTGGTAAGGGAACGGCTCAGCCTGGCATCAGCTCGCTGTTAGCCCCTCTCTCTGGATCCCTGCCCTCTGCCGTGGGGAAGCAGCGACAGGAGGGGGCTCGCAGGCTGATGGGAAGACGAGGAGGGAGCAGAGCAGTCAGCTGGGGAAAGGCTGTTTGGAAAGCCGGTCAGTTCCAGTACAAACCAGTACAAACCACTGGTGAGCCTGCTGTGCTGCGCTCCGTGGCGTGGGGTGGCTGCAGCAGGAGCTTCTCCTTCCGTGTACTTCAACCAAATCTTGGCCTTTTGGGAGCGTTTCTGAGACCCCTTCTCCCTCCCTGGGGACACGATGGATTGGAAAATCTCCCCCTGCAAACTCCTACGTTCGTTCCTTTGTTTTTCCTGTGAGTGAACAAATCCGTAGCAGTGAAACGGAACAAAGCAGCTGTAGGGATTTTGTGTTTGGAGGGGGTTAATCTTCATTCCTCCCTCAGAAGGTTTGGCTTCGTGGCTCCTTGAGCGGTGCCGATGGGAGGTCACAGCTGCTGGCTTTATCCTCAAGCTGCCTGCTCCAGCGGTGGCTCTCAGAGTTACCCCGAGCTGGCAGCGATTTGCTTCTCTGTGGATGTGCTGCTGCCCTTTCTGGGTGACTCTGTCTTTCTCGGATGCTCTAAGATCCCCCTTGTTTACAGGCTAAATCCCCGAGTGGAATGATCTGAGGTTTGTTGTCTTTAACACAGAATGTGTAACTGGGCTTATAGAAGTGGTTCTCCCATCCTTCAACCATCTGCTCATTCTAAAATCTACTTTTTGATCTGAAATGAAAGCGAAAAGTGAATTTTGGATGGTTTCGAGGCAGAACACTTCCACTCATGCAACAGAAAATATCTCACTTTCTGTTCTTTCTTTTTTTTCCTTTGTGATTCTAATTCTTTTCAGAACAAATAGATTGCTAAAACCAACTGCTTTTTTTTTTTTTCTTCTCTTTTTTTCTCCAAAGACATTTGCAGTGAGAATCCTGCCCAACCTGGCGACATACTGCACGCTTCTCCAGTTGACAAAGCGATGATTTGGGGCTGGAAATAAATGCACTGGGGGCTCTCCTGGGACAGAACTGCCTCTCTGCCCTTTGCCCTGTGGTGCATCACGGCTGTCACTGCCTGCAGCTCATAAAAGCACTGTGGGTGCTGATGTGGGGCTGTAATCCCAGGAGCAGGGATACCCCAGGAGCAGGGATGCCCCTAAATCAGGTTTTTGAGGCTCTCCCAGTCACTGTGCTGCAGCCCAGAGGCGATGGAGGTGGCTGAAGGATGCCCAGGGATGCTCACCTCTACCCCTGTGCCACCTCTTGCTCCTGGCCTGATAGATGCTGGCCAGGAGGGAGCTGGGCACTGCTGAGGCTCATTTTGGGAGACATCGGTGCCTGATTTGGAGCATGCGTGAGCTGGAATGGTGTCTGCTTAGCCTGCGGGGCTGCCAGCTCCCTGCTGGGCTGTTCCTAGCTCAGCCCAGCTGGGCTCTTCAAAGCCTTCAGGCTCTCGTGGCATGGTTCAGGGAGCACGTTATAGCACGAATCCCTTGCTTTATTTCACAATTGCGTGGCTCTGCAGAGGCAGCGTGCGTGCAGGGCACCCTGGCACATCCAGTCCCGTGCCGTGAGCCCCGTGCTGGGACAGCCAACAGTGTGGGGTGCTGTTGGGGAGCAGGACACGGTGCTGGGGTGAAAGGCAGATGTTGAAGTGCCCAGCTCAGCCCCTGTCCTGCTTTGCTGCCCTCCCTCCTCTCTCCCTGCAGGTAAACTTCAACGAGCCGCTCTCCATGCTGCAGCGGCTGACGGAGGACCTGGAGTACCACGAGCTGCTGGACAAAGCCGTCAAGTGCGAGAGCTCCACGGAGCAGATGTGTTTCGTGGCTGCGTTTTCCGTGTCTTCCTACTCGACGACGGTTCACCGCACGGCGAAGCCGTTCAACCCGCTGCTGGGGGAAACCTACGAGCTCGACCGGCTGGAGGAGTTTGGCTTCCGTTCCCTGTGCGAGCAGGTGAGGTGTGGGCTGCGTGCCTCTGCTCGTGTCCAGTCCAAGCAGCCCCTTCCCCAAAGGAGGCCCAGCAGCTCCTGGTGCTGAGCCTTCCTCCTGGCCGAGACAGGCAGCACGGTGCTCCTGGCACTGGCAGAAGCAGCAGCAAACACAGCCTGAGCCATCTGCAGGAGCATTGTGTGGCCGTCCCAGCATTGCAGAGCAGGAGCTGGGGTTGGAAAAAGGGCAGGAGAAGAGCATCTGTCACCATGGCAGGTTTCATGGCAGCCTGCTCGGGTCTGGGGTCTCTGTAACATCTCAGCACTTGAGCAGACAGGGAGAAGACACATCAGTGAAGCCTGAGGCACAGTTCCTCCCCGTTTCTGTGCATCTCATGGCTGGAAAAAACCTCAGGATCTTGTTTCTTTCTTGTTACACTGAAAAGTTTTAGTTTCAAAGCTTGGGGGCAACCTGAGAGCCTCTGACATCCTCTTGTGCTAACCACAGAGTGCATCTGACGCGTATCGGTCAAACAGCAGGTCTTAATTAAAAACCTGGAGTGTTTAATGGGTTGAGACCTGTGAAGAAAATTGACTCTTTAATTATGTAGCATGCTTGGCTGGTGCGTCCCACCCTCCTGGGGATGGCTGGGGCCAGTTTATCACCATTGCAGGCAGGACATCGTGTTGGTGGGGGCTCCAGGAGGTGGCTGTGCTGTATCGGGAGCAGAGCAACCATCACATCTTTCAGCTCTCAGAAGCATCAAACAAAGCCACAAACCTCCATTGCTCTGCAGAGGCCAACGTAGGTCCAAGACCTGCAGGCACTGTTGAGCAGAGCGTGCCCACTGAGGGTTGTGGGTCAGTGATTTTGTGGGGCTCTGCTTGCAAGCCATCTCATCATCACGTTCTGTACAGTCAGTTCAGCAAGTTTGGTTTATTACCCCAATTTGGGCTGCGATGATGAAGCCTAGTGCTGCCTGTCAGATACCACCAGAGCGCCCCAACATCACTCCCGTGCTTGTCATCTCTTTTCCTGTTTCTTCACCCTCCTTCTCACCACACTTCTTTGTCCCTTTGTCTCCATCCTCATCTCCCAAATAAATAACCTGCCCTGAATTACAACCCCTGCCCCGGGATGTGCTGGCATCATGGGGTGGACTGGACGGACGGACGCTGATTGCGCTGCTCTGACTGCTTCCATTCCCTGGGGAGCAGCGGGTGCTGCTCAGCCCGCCGACCTGCTGAGCAAAGCGTTGATAATCCCGTGCCTGAAATCCAGTTATCCAAATAGGATTTCCTCCCGCCGGTGACCGTGGGGTTTAATGGAGAAGTTTTGGCTCTGCTCACGGTTGTAATCCAGCTGCTCAGGGCACTCAGGCCTGTGATGACACCGGCGCGTGCAGTCTCTGAATGCAGGGATGTGCATCGTCAGCCCCAGGGTCGGACAGAAAGGGTGGCAGGCACCTCACGGGCTCTTTCTTCTCTCTTCCAGGTGAGCCACCACCCGCCGGCAGCTGCCCACCACGTCTTCTCCAAGCGAGGGTGGACGTTATGGCAGGAAATCACGATCGCCAGCAAGTTCAGGGGCAAATACCTCTCCATCATGCCTCTGGGTAGGTGACTCGTGCCGAGGGGATCGGGGCTGGCTCCTGCAATACCCAAGAGGTCCAAGCAGCACACCAGTCCCATGGGCTTGGGTAGGGCTCGATGAATCCCACCCTGAGCATTGTAGGAGTGCGTGTTTGTGCTCCTGGTCACGGACAATCCTGAAACTCCAGCCATAATACTGGAGGTGGAAACTATGCCAGCTGCAAAGGGAGAGTGCTTTGCTTGCTGATGAGGTGCTCAGGAAATATCCTGGCTTAACTCGTGCCAAGGCGGCACCCAGACTGGCCAGTGGGAGGTGGCGGTGGCCAGCAGACAGCCAATTTTGTACTCCTGCTTGCCCATAAATTGATTTCTCCTTAAATGCTGTTTAAAGGTCAACTTGCTGCCTGTTCCAGCCCTCTTCCCAGCAGCCAGAGGCCAGAAGCTGCCTCCCTGCAGGGCTGTGTTTGCCTTCTCCCCATCCCGGGGCTGGGCAGCACACCTGAGGCCGGTCCCCTCTGAGTGGTCTCATGGCACATTCCCGAACAGCTCCTAAAATAAGAGCTTTTGGGATCAGAAAGCGGGCACGGGACCTGGCGGCTACCACAGCTGCTTCAGCGGGGAGGGATGGGCGCAGACCCCGAGCTGTTTTGGGGCCGAAGGGTGGGCACGGGCACGGTGCTGGGGCCTCTGGTCCTGTCCCCACCCTGAGCCTGGGGCTCTGCGCTCCCGCAGGCGCCATCCACCTCGAGTTCCACTCCAGTGGGAACCACTACGTCTGGAGGAAGGTCACCTCCACCGTTCACAACATCATCGTGGGCAAGCTCTGGATTGACCAGGTGGGTGCTCAGGCTGGCCTCGGAGGGCTGGGGCTGGATTGGGTTCAGCCGTGGGGCTGTGGCGGGGAGCAGAAGCGGTGCTGCAGCTGAGGCTGCCGTGCAGCTGCACAAGGGGTGACTAACGGCTCATTTGTCTTCTTGCGAAGTCTCTCACTTGCTGTGGTTCTGTGTCTTTTATCTAGTCTGGTGAAATAGAGATTGTTAACCATAAGTCAAAAGATAAATGCCAGCTGAAATTTACCCCCTACAGCTACTTCTCCAGAGACGTCCCCCGAAAGGTACGTAGCCAGAAATCTCCCTGCTCCTTCTGGTGGCCTGGCCCTTCCCTCTGAGCTGGGCTTGGGTTTGTGGGGTCCTGGCTCGAGGGTGGGAGGGATCCCAGCACGGGGTGAGGATCTGCACTGGCACCTTTGTGGGGTGCAGCTCAATGGGGAGGGCTGGGAGAGCGGTGCTGAAATCCGTGTCTGGGAGCTGGGCAGGACTGGATGGGCTGCAGGACCAGCTGCAGGGGCTGGGGTGGGATGGGACCTGCCTCCTGGGTGCAGCTGGGTGCTGTCCTCACGTCTGAGGACACGCAGCACCACTTGAGTCACCAGGTCCAGCTATTTCGCTCCTGGATTTGCCCCCTGGGCACTTTTAGAAGCCACCAGAGCCACCTCCTGCACTTTTGTCTCTCCTTCTGCCAGGTGACGGGGGTGGTGAGCGACGCGGATGGTAAAGCTCACTACGTCATGTCTGGCACGTGGGACGAGAAGATGGAGTGCTCCAAGATAGTCCACAGCAGCCACGGCAGCACCAGCTCGGAGGGCAAACAGAAAACCGTCTACCAAACGCTGTCTCCAAAGGTCCTGTGGAAGAAATACCCCCTCCCGTGAGTCCCGTCCTGCGGCGCGGCATGCTGGGCAGCGAGGGTTTGGGCAGCCAGGTGCTGGTTTGGGCTGAGGTTTGCTTCTCCTGGCTGCTGGCTGTGGCAGGGCGAGGTGCTGGCTGCTCTGCCTTGCCACCGAGTCCCTGTCCCATGGGGGAGTTCAGCTCTCTGGGGACCAGCCCTGCTGTCGGACACCGAACCAGTGTCCCTTCTTCAGGCTCTGGTCTGGCAGCTCTTGGGTTGGGTTGTTTCCTGCTTTGGCTGTGTGATACTGGAGCTCGTAGGCTTTGCTTTTAGCTCCCCCACACCAAAGATTTATTTAGATTTAGAGCTTAGTGATATGGTTTAGTGGAGGACTTGTTAGTATTAGGTCAGGGGTTGGACTAGGTGATCTTGGAGGTCTCTTCCAACCTAGATTATTCCGTGATTCTGTGAACGCAATAGAGGAGGGGTCTGTGCTCCCCCAGAGGCATCCCTGACATCTTTACTTAGGGGGTGGGATGCAGGACTCCCCTTAAGCGTGCTCTACACACGGTGTTTTGGGGATCAAAATACTAAATACAACAGCTTTGCTGGGCTGGGGTGCGACACCACCACCCGAGGGGATGGGAGCTTTGCTCGAGGCAGGCACCAACCTCCGTGGTCCTCACTGCAGGGAGAACGCCGAGAACATGTACTTCTTCTCCGACCTGGCCCTCACCCTGAACGAGCCCGAGGAGCGGGTGGCCCCCACGGACAGCCGGCTGCGCCCTGACCAGCGGCTGATGGAGAGTGGCCGCTGGGACGAGGCCAACGTGGAGAAGCAGCGGCTGGAGGAGAAGCAGCGAGCCGTGCGCCGCAGGAGGGAGGCCGAGGCCGTGGAAGCCCTGGAGGAAGGTGGGATGGGATGGGATGGATGCAGGATGGGGAGGAGGGGGTGCCGCGGGGAAAACGCTGCTGGGTTTGGGGAGGAAGGACCGACCCCTCATCATCTCTGTCCCCATGCAGGGAAGGACTATGAAGGCTACATCCCGCTGTGGTTCGAGAGGAAGGTGGATCCCATGACGGGGGAGCTGATCTGCGCGTACAAAGGCGGCTACTGGGAGGCCAAGGACAAGCAGGACTGGAGCGTGTGCCCCGATATCTTCTGAACTGCTCTGCTTGCTCCGGCCTGGCCGGCCCTGGGCGCCTCTGCAGCAGGACAGACAGAGGGACAGCGAGGACATGCTGGCAGCATCCTGCCGGCAGGTGACAGTGCAAATAAACACACACACACACACACACTCATGCAGAAATCTGAAAAAAAAGAAAATCTAAACAGGGATTCCAAACCTATTTTTTTATGCACTAATAAATAGCATCCTTTTTTTTTTTTTTTAATGGTGGCTTTTTCAGCTACTGATTAGGAATATGGACACGAGAATCTGGTTTGTTTTTAGCCTAGTATATTTATTGCTATCAGGAGTTGCTGCCTCTATCTTTCAATGCCTCAGCTGTATCGGCTGAGACGTCGACTTCCAAAGATGCTCGCGTCGTGGGGATGCCGTGCATTTGTGTGAGCTCTTTCTTTGACATTTTTTTTTTCCTCATTTGTGCGTGGACTTTAAGGAGATTTAAAAAAGAAAAAATCTGCTTCTGGTTCAGGTTCCTTCAAAGTCAAACACAAACAACTCCAAATCTGCTCAGAAAACACCGGGGGCTGTGGCCGAGGTGCTTGTTGCTGGAGGCTGCTGGTGGTTCCCGCAGCGCCCGGTCATCCCAATAATCCCAATCAGGACATTTCAGCTGGTGACCATTTTTCCTTTTTGTTTTCACTTTAAAGAAGCCTTTGAGCAGATTCCCTGTGGTCTGCCGTGTTTAGTCAAGGTTTGGGACTGTCTTTAATGTGATGCTTTGTGATTGGAGTGAGGTTTGGTTTGGTTTTCCCGTACCTGCATCCAAAGAGGGCTGAGACAGCGAGCTGCTGGCGGAGTGTGAGGAGGTGCTTGAGCACAGAGAGAAGAGATTTGTCGCCCAGCGAAGCTCTGGGGCTCGCAGACCAGCTCTCAGCTCCGAGTCGCTGCAGCAGGACTGAGGGGTGGCAGGAGCTCTGCTGTCAGAATGGCTCCCAGGAGGCAGCGTTTATCCTGCTTTCCCCACCCCGTGTCTTCCCCAGTTTGCAGGTTTCAGGTCATGGCTAGAACACCCCTCGTGCTGCTGGATGGAAACAGCGGGATTCCTGCAGCTTTTCTCCTGGGAGAGCTGAGCAAGCCCTGCAGGTGATGGGTGAGGACCAGCAGTGAGCGATGCCTGGGCACTGGGCATGCCTGGTTCCCTGGCGCAGAGTGAGGACCCAGGAGAGGACAGATCCGGTGGATCCCGTCGGCACAGAGGGAATTGGAGGTACCTGCACACCTGCCTTTGCCTCCTTAGATTTCATTTTCGGTGTCTTCTTCTTTGGGTGTTCATCGTATCACGCTGCCTGCTCCCTCCCGCGGGTCAGAGGCCACCTGTAGCCGGACTGTCACATCCACATCGGAAGATAATTAGCAATAATGAACTTTGAGGCAATGGGAACTGGAAACCCCAGACTGCACACGGAACACTTATGCAATCAGGTTCCTCTTACCGTCAGTCTCCTCCTGGTCAGCTTCTCCAGCACCTCCGTACCTGTTATTTACAGCAAACCCATGTGTACAGTATATATAGACCCTGTATGGCGTAACAGTAGTGAGTGGCTATTGGAGTGGCAACACCCGCTGATCTCAATGTACCCCTTAATCTTATTTATTTGCTTCTAATTTATATATATATATAAATATATATAAAAAAAAATTATTTTGCTTAAATTTCTATGGTACACAATAGATAAAAAATGATGAAGACAGAAGCGTCTGTCTGAGTTTTTGTAGTACGAGTACAGCCATTCCCCTAGGCGTGTCCCGAGGTAGGGTGTAGGGGTGATGGTGATTTGTTCCCGAAGCAGAGAAGCAACATTTTGCTCCGAAGCTCTTCAATGACCCAAACTGCCGCGTGAGGTTGGCCACAGCTGGCACGAGCTGTGCCGTGTCCCGTCCTGGGGCCGGGAGGAGGCTCCGTGCTCAGCTGCGCTTGGGACAGCAGCAGAAGTGGCACCGGGATGGGTTTTGTAGAATGGACTAGAGATTGAGCACTTCCAAATGCCTTATTTTCCTTGTGTTATCAATGCAAGCGTTATGCCAGGGCTGGGAAGGGCGAGGAGCTCCGGGCTGTCCCGAGACCTGGACCCGAGCGTCCCCGTGGCAGAGGTGACGTTGCTCAGGGAGTGTTGGCACCGAGTGTCCTGCTGGGCTCCGGGACACTGGGAGCTCCTCTGCGATGTTCCCCCCCGATGTCTCTCCAAAAATCACCATCACGGACACTACACAGCTTAGCAGAGCCTGGGGAGTGTGAGGAGCACCCCCAGAAACAGCAATCCCCCCCTTTTTTTAGGCTAATTTTAAAAATTGCAGTATCTTCCAGAGATCATCTAGCGGCAACGCTTAATCTGAGCACCATCTCCTGGTCTTTCTACCCGCCTCACCCCTACCCCCCCCCCCAAAAAAAATAATGTCATTCTACTGTAAATGCTGTTGAATGTATTTCTTTTTGAACAATATGTTGTGAGTGATCCCTCTTCTCCTACACGGTAATAAAACTTGGATTCAGGAGTTTTAAAAGGCGCAGTGCTGAGGTTATCGCTCGCCTCCCCCCCAAATCTGAAGGTGGAGGTCCCAGGGAACCCCGAGGTGGGCACGTGGGGGGCGAGGGGGACGGGGAAGGGACCACAGGAGATGGCCGGGAGGAGAAAGTTGTCCAAGGGGAGGAGGACGTGGGGTGGAGGCCCAGAGATGAGACCCAGGGAAGGAGGAGGATCAGGAGGGAGGCTGCCCTGGGGAGGAGATGGTCCAGGGGAGGAGGTGGCCCAGCAGAGGTGGTCTGAGGGAGGAGATGGCCAAGGGAAGGTGGCCCAGGTAGGCAGGGACAGGAGAGGTGGCCCCGGGGAAGAAATCCTCCAGGGATGGTGGCCCAGAGAAGGAAGAGGAGCAGGGAAGGGGTTGCCCAGGGAGGCAGGAGGGCTGGGGGAGGCGGGGAGATGGCCCAGCGGAGGTTGTGCAGGGGAGGAGGACCAGGCTGGGAGGGACGGGAGAGGAGTCCCAGGGGATGGCTCATAGGGAGGAGGCCCCGGGACAGGAGATGGGGAGGGGAAGCCCTGGGCAGGCTGAGACTTGGCCGAGCCACCGGGACGTTGCCAGGTGACAGACAACAGCGCACAGCCCTGCCGGTGCTGTGCCGGTGCCGTGCCGTGCCGGGAGGAGCCCCCTGGGTGCAGGCAGCGGGGCGAGGGGCCAGCAGGGTCCCCACACCCTGGCCCTCAGCTCCAGCAGGTGGGTGAGCCTGGCTGCTTCGTTCCTGGCATGTTCAATCTGTGCTCGTTGGGACCTCGAGGGCAGAAGCTGCGCAGTGCGGAGCTGAGCTGTGGGGGTCCGGAGGGGACCACGAAGCACCAACACTGGGGTGCTCCGGCCCTGAGCCACCCGCAGCCCCAGGGCACTGGGGCACGCAGCAGAGCCCGCGACACCTCTCCCGATGCCTTCGACATCTCCAGGATGGCCGGTGAGTGGGGACAGGGATCCTTGCAGCCCCCTGGTAAGGACGTTGCGCAGAGCATTACGCAGCTGTCACCATTTAAATAAACCAACAGCGCACCACCGAGCCCAAAATAGCAAATGCTAGAGGGCAAAAGGGCACCCCGGGATCCCGTGGCTGAAATGCAAACGTTGCTGGAGGGGCGAGCGCTGGTGCCAACGGCACGGTGGGGCCGGGAACCTCACACCCAGCGGTCGCTTCCTTGTGGCAGCAGTGGAGCTTGCAGCACCCTGCCTGCGCGCCCTGTGCTGAGCTGTGCTGCTGTGTGGTGCCTGAAAAATGAGCCTGACCCCCAAAAAAGCCATGTAGCAGCGTTTTCTTTGTCTCTATTTTGGAACGGAGGGTCGGGCTCTGGCTGGGGAGGCTCAGGGTGCTCTGCTTTCTGCAGAGCCATCGGGACGTGGCTCCTGGAGGCAGCGTCGGGGCGATGGGAGCAGCTCCAGCTCTGTGTGCACCGAGGACTTGGCTGCTGCTTTTTGGGAGGGCATGGTAGAGCCTGCAGTGTTCTCCACGGGGGAGGAGGATGAGGCCCTCTATTTCCCTACTGAGGACGATGGTGATGGGCAGGATGCGTCCCTCTCCGTGGGACCCTCGTGGGACACATCCCCGTGGGTGACAAGGAGGGAGAGCCTGGAGTCCCTGGGAGTGAGGATTTCCAGGCTGAGCCAGATCAGTGCTGGGAAACCCTGGGGGGAACCCTGCCTGGCTCCCTCTGAGGAGGACACGGGACATCCCTGGAGACCCCCAGGCAGCTCAGCCAGCAGGAGCGGGGCTGGGAGCAGGGGACACCCCAGGAGGAAGCCCACGGAGACCAGACATCAGCAGCCAGCAGCTGCCTGGGGGTGGCAAGGAGGGGACACCGCCCTCGCAGTGGAGAAGAAAGGAGGTGGCAGCAAGCAGAGGGGAGCTCACTGCTCATCTCACCGTGAGTTGGGGCTGGCCCCGGGGTACAGGGGCTGGAAGAGGACGGGGGGACCGGGGCCAAGCAGGGCGCAAGGGGTCTGGGGTGCCCATGCAGGAGATGCGCTGGCAGGAACCAGCCCTCACTTGCTCATGGGGTTTGTGGTGTCCCCCCAAAACGCCGTGTGGTCCCGCAGGTACCGAGGCAGCAGTGGGACCCTCCGGCAGATGCAGCCCCCACTCCAAGGTGCTGAGCTTCGTGTCCTGCCCTGTCCAGCCCCAGGGGCAGCGCGGGAGGCTGGCAGCTGTCCATGTCCCACAAGGTACCATGTGGCACAGCGGGGTGGTCGGGGTTGGCTGCTGCCATGTGGGGGGGGACACGGCTGGGATGTCCCCGTCCCCGAGTCCCACGCAGGATCTGGCAGCAGAGACCTCGTTGGTGGCCATAGGGAGGGTCGGCGTGAGGACATTTATCAAAGAAACGAATAATTGCAAATGGAGACCTGAAGGAAAACCTTCCAGCACTCAAGAACAGTTCGTCATCGTGAAAGTCGTTACCTTCATCAAGTTAATTAGCATGTCCACCTCCATCCCTCCAGCTGGTGTCACTGCGCCGGGCCCTGCGGAGGAGCCAGGAGGGGACTCAAGAGCTGGGAGCTGGTGCTTGGGGGACCTGGAGAGAAAGGGAGAGAGGCAGGTGAGCTCTCGGGGACCCATCCTGCTCTGAGGCTGGAGCCACAGCCCTGAGGATGGGGCTGAAACCCCACAGAGGACCCATGGGTGGGCTCTGGGGTGTCCTGGTGGGGACGTGGGTGATGATGTCCCTGCAGCAGGGCTGGCTGGGCGCTGCTGGCATGGACACGGGACCAGGTGGACCTGGAGATGGTGGTGGGCACCCCAAGTTGGGTAAAGCAGGGTGGGGGTCGGGTTGGGGGGCTTGGGGACAGCAGGGCGAGGGGCTGGGGTGGCCAAGGCTGCAGCTACACGGGGAGGGAAGCGCAGAGCTGCTCCTGCGTGGAGGAGGTGGGAGGTGGAGAAGGGGGGTCCTGTCTCAGCAGGGGCTCTCAGAGAGGCCGTGATGGGGGCACGGGGCAGGCACAAAGGGCATCATCGACTCTGCAAGACAAGAAACTGGAGCTGCAGGAGGTCGGTGCGTGCCGTGGGTCTGGGGCTGCGTGGGACAGACCAGGGGAGGGAGGGAGGGAGCGGGTCCCTTGTCGAGGCCAAGCCCCTCACCCAGCCACCTGCGTGTCCCATGTTGGGGTATGGCCAAGTTCCTAAAACAGTTTAAAGAGAGAGGATCCGTGGGGAAAAGCAGCCCTGTGGCTGTGCCCAGGCCTGGCTGGTTGGGCAGGGAGGTCCCTCGGGGTGCAGGCAGGGCAGAGGTGTTGGCACGATGCTGGTCGCCGCCGTGCCCACGCTTCCCACCTGCATCGGGGGGACTGAATGTGGGAAATACCTTGCTGGGTCTGGGTGACGTGCTGGGGTGGCCCCATGGGCTGGGGACCCCTCTCTTTGTGCAGAGGCTCCGCGAGCTGCAGCATCGAACCCGCTCCCTCCTGCGGCAGCGGCTGGAGACCCTGGAGCAGCTCCGGGTGCTGCTGAGGGAGGAGGAGGCGACCGCATCTCATCAGCTCCAGGAGGCTGTGGAGAAGGTCAGGGAATGGAGAGGGGTGGTGGCAGCACCCAGTGATTGTGTCACCTCCGCTGTGCCCCGGGTGGGGACAGGGACACGTCCCCGTGGGAGCTGGTAGCTCTGGGGCAGGACCTGCTCCCCGGCAGTGCCACAGGGAGGGTGGGCTTTGGATAAAAACAACTGGAGAGCAGCCACAGTTGCTCGCTGGCCCAAATAAGTGCTCTGCAGGAGGCAGGGATGTGCGGGGTGTGGGGTGGGACCTCCCTGGGTGGGATCTCCCCTTTTTGTCCCCCCAGTCCCATCTGAACCGGGACTGAAGATGCCGCCTGTGCGCAGAGATGGAGCCGACGTCCTCGCCTCCGCTCTGCCACCTCCCCGTCCCCGAGCACTTCGCCCGGTCTCCGGCAGCACAGCCCTGGGTCCCTGAGGCTCCTGCACCACGTCCAGCGCTGCCTGCAGGAGCTGCAGGTGGATAAGACACACCGCACGGGCAGCCTGGAGCACCCCGAAGTCCTGGGAGGAGAGCTGGGCACCGCAGCAAGCGAGGAGGAATGGGGACAGCCTGGGACAAGGGACTCGCCCCCTGCTGCAGCCTCACCCAAGCACAAGGTGCAGAGCTCTGCTGCCCAGCACTCCAAGGGGGGTTGTTTGTAACCTAGGGACTTTGGGCAGATCCCATCGCCATCATGTGGGGTTAAGGGACACGGGGATCATGGCTAAGGGACCTGCTGGTGGGGGGAGACCTGCTGGTGGTAGGGTCCTAGGGGAGTCCACCTCTGGGTTGCTTGGACTTGGAGTTCCTACACGGCTCTTCCCACTCTGCTGCTTCTCCTCTGCTCTCCTCAACCCTGGGATGTGGCCGTGGGACACAGCTCAGGCAGGCTGGCGGTGGCGTTTCCCTTTCTGTGCCACCACGCTCACCAGTTCTGGCTCTTCCTCCCTTGCGGCAGAGGTTCCTGGTAGCAGACACCCCACGTCCCAGCAGGAGGAAACACGACTGCAGGAGTCGTCGTCTGCTGTGACAGGGACTTGGACTGGGGCACGGAGGTGCTGAGACATCCCTGGCTGCTCCATCTCCCTGTGCGTGCCCAGAAGGACCAGCCGTGAAGCTTCTGGACCCTCCCTTCGCAGGACTTTCCCCGCAAACCTTCCGAAATGGAAACTTCCCTTCGGGTCCTCCTGGCCGTGCTCCTTTCCAGAACTGCTGGCTGAGGGACAACATTTGTCTTGGGTGCAACAATCAGTATGGATCTGGATCTCCACCAGGTCCAGCCAGGCCAAAATTGGAGCCCTACCAGCATCTTTACCCCTGCTCCTGGAGCTCCAGGTGTCCCCAGGCAAGCAGGACGTGGCCACGCAGCCAAGGCAGGGGCACCAGCCCTGGGATGGCTGCAGGCAGCAACAATTAAAAAAAAAATAAAATAGGGATTTCTGTTTTTCTGTTTAAAAGCTTTCATTCCATTTGAAAGAGGAGAGACCTTTTTCTCAGTCTCGGCACATCACATTGGAGAAAATACTGTTCTTAATTTGCCGGAGAGTGTCCAAGGAGAGCTCCTCTCCTTGCAAGGGGGGGGAAATGAGAATTTCTTGCAGCACTCGATTATGCTGCGCCTCCTGCCAGGGGAAGAGAGGGAATGAGAACAGCAATATTTGTATGCTTTCTTTCCAATTAAAAGAAAAGTGTTTTTCATTATATTTTTTCTGGAATGTTGGACTGGGGACGTTTCTGAAATTACCTATGATGCACAGCCCTTGCTGAAGTTATTGCATTTTTTTTTTCTTTAATTTTCACAAAGAGAATTGTGGTAAAAGCTACATTTTTTTTTCTTTTCTTTTTCTGAATGGCTTTTAATTAAAACCCAAAGGCTTGCAAGGCCCCGTGGATGCCTTTGCAAGCAGCAGCCTGAGCTTCCCGGTCAAAGCACACGAGCGTCACCCATCCCTCAGCAGGAGCCTGGTGCAGGGCTGGCTCCCAGCTCCCTGGGTGGCCACAGCAGCATTTCCATCGCTGTTACTCTCTGCTACATGCATGGAGGTTTTGACCTCGGAGGGACCTTCATTGACTTCTCAGGCTTGAGTGATGTTGAGGCACACAAACGGGGCTGGTTCTTCACCTCCTGCTTCTCCAGGAAGGGCTGCGAGGAGGTGGGGATGATGGATGGAAAGGGTGAAAGATCACCGGGAGGCTTGGAGCTTGCATGGTGAAAAGTGTTGGCCTGTGTGCAAAAAAAGTTGTGAAATTGCTGGGTGTTCGGGGGAGAGTAGGACCTTGGATATTCTTCTGGTCCTCTCCATGGAGGAGCCTTAATTTGTATGGAAAAAAAAAGGTAATCAAGAGCTACATGAAGCTCATTGAGGTCTGTTTACCTGATCCCACGCTGCAGTGCGATGCACCCTTTCAGATGGGACCTGAGCACTCCCACGGTGCAGATCTGCCCTGAGACACAGAGCTCGGGGGCTGATTTAATGCATGCCTGGGAGAAATGTGTGCCCTTAATGAGCAGTGAGAGGCAGTGGGTAGAGTAAGACCATAGTGCTTTTCCGTTTTGAAATATTTATTTATTTTATTTTTTTTTTTTTTCTCCCCAGTTTTGACCATTTTTTAACATTCGGGTGCTTCGACTTCCCCTCGTGTGTCGGGAGCGATGTTGGCTCCAGGATTAAAGCCGGAGAGGCGCAGGGCAGGCGTGTGAACGCCTGGGACCGCTCCTCATGCAGGATTCAGCATCTCCCTGCTTGAAACTGAGCTTCCAGGCCGCTTGGTGGCAGGGAAAACCTGAGCTAAAGGCAGCCTCACGGGACCCTCAGCTCCAGCACTGAGCGCAGCCGGGTTTTTTGGGCATGCTTCTTTGGGTGCATCGCTTGCTTTTGAAATCGGGATGTGCAAAAAGAAAAGCCTTCCCTACCTGCTCGGGGTAACAAAGCCTTGCAGAGGTGTGATGAGCTCCTAAACCCTTCATCTTTTTGGCTTTTCTGTGTTCAAAACCCTGGAGCAGGGTGGCTCGTGCTCCTGCAGCCCCCCAGCAGGCAGCAGCACGCCCCAACCTCCTTTACACCTGCAGAAATGGTCGGAAAAAAGCAATTTACGGGGGTTACAGAGGACTCCTATAATATAGCCTGGATGTGCTGATAATAAGCCTATTTGAAAATCCTCTGTAATGACGGAGCCTCTGCAGAGGCAGCAGAGAAGAAAAATTCCTCTCGATTACATTTAAAGTCTGTTCAGTGCCACCACTGCTTTGCAAGCTTTTCTAAGTAGCCGGTGTGTTGGCCAACAGCTAGAAATCTACGTGCATGGGAGTGATGATGGACCTAAACGATTTCCTTATTTATTTGTTTTAATTTTGATGTTTTGTGGCGTCTGTGCTGAACTCTGTCTTCCTCTGCAGGCAGGGTTATCCTACGTAAAGAGGTGTTCCCCAAAGATTAGTGTCTCTGTGATGAAAGATTAGTGCTGAAAACTCCCAAATTCCTGGAAACGGTGATGCACACTGTGCAGTGTGGAAGCTAATGCTGGGTTATAGCTGAATACCATTTAAAAAAAGTGATATAAAAACAGCAGCTGGAGGTGCTGAATTAGTATGGATGTGGAATTGGTAGTAATAAAGGACCGAGGGTGTTTTTGGGAGACTCTTATGCTAAGGAAAGGCCTGAAGCACAGAAATGGTTATCTCCATCCGGTATTATTAGAATTAGAAAATTAATAGAAGGGAATGGAATAGAACGAAATAGTTAGAATAGGACAGGACAGAACAGGATATAATAGAATAGAACAGAACAAAGAATAGGATAGGATAGGATAGGATAGGATAGGATAGGATAGGATAGGATAGGATAGAACAGACCAGACCAGACCGTTGCTGAGATCTCCCCAGCCCTGCCTTCGGTGGAGGCCACGAGCCTCCGAGCAGTGCAGCTGAGGCTCATGCCTGGGGGAAATGAACGGAGGCCAGGCTGCTACTCGAAAATGTGATGTTTTTCTACTATCAGTGGAGCTGCCTACCCACAGCAGTGCTGCTTAGCCGGAAGATTACTTGCCTTCTGCTTGAGTGATTTTGTGTGTTTTTATGGAGAGTACTCACCCATTAGAGATATTTACTTATGGAGAGCATCTCCTAATGCCTGGGGATTGCAGATACTTGTAGTTCCCGGCTGATATACATGAATTTTCTTCGCACTGATTAAGTTCTCCCTCTGAGGAAGGCAGGGTAATCGGTGGCATCCCCACCTCACGTGAACAAGTCCTTTCCGATGCAGGCAGGGAAGTGAGGAGCAGTGGTGTCAGGCTAACGATGTCCCGGTGAGGCTGGAGCCGTCTGGGTAATCAGTGGCATTTGTCACGAGGGAGATGTCATTCCCACCCGTCTGCCGGAGCTGCTGGTGAGGGTAATTAGCGAGAATTATTGCACAGACATGTGGGGAGTTGTTCAGTGAGTGCCTGCATCTCCCGTGTGCCGTTAGCAGAGCTTCTCCCGGTGCCTGATAGCTGCTGCCAGTGCTACAAAGCCAGAGGGTGCTGAACGGGAAGGGGTTGCAGCTACAAGCAGTGTGACCCAGGCAGGAAAAGGCTGACGTCCTTCTTCTCCATGCCTGGGGTGGCTGGGGCAGTGATTCTGGCTTGGTCCCACAGAGCCAGAGCATCCCTGCTGTGGGGCTGGGAGGATGGGGCTCAGCCGGTCTGCAGCTGCCCCTGGGGCACCCTAGCTGAGAAAAAGGGCACCAGGGGAATGCTCGTCACTGCCAGGGAATGGGATCGAGGTGCTTGGGTCTATGTATTACATACATTTCCCCCCTGTGCTCATCAGACTTCCCTATTTATGCCGTGCTGGTTAGGCAGAGCCGTTTGGGGCCGTGGTAAAGCCTCCCATCACTAGTACGAATTACAGGCAAGCGCTAATTGAAGGTATGTTTGCTTTGTGCTGACACAAGCTGGTGCTCATGCTGGTTTTGGGGGTGGCAGTTAATTTTAGTCCCATCTGATGGCAGCGTTTTCCTGGGAAGTGCCAGGTAAGCAGACAATTTCTGCTTATGACGAGAAATACCCACAGCTCCTGGTCGGCGTTGACTGCACGGAGCGGCACTTGCCTTATGTAAATTAACTCATTCCCACTATTCCAGGGCCATACTGGTTAATCAGATGCATTCCTGTGATTAGCGCGACTAAATCCAGCCAATCAATAGGGAGTGTGGAGCACGGTGATTTTAGGCAAGTACGTTTAACATTTGCTGATTAATTTCTACGATTCTGAGACTACATCAGCCCGTAAGAGGCATTTTTCTCCTGGTTAGTAATTAGTGTCATACAGTAATGCAGTGTGCAGTAGTGCTTAACTAACAGCATATTTGCTGCCCACCATCTAATTCCAATAATTTCTGGAGGATGCCACTAAATCAGAAGCATTTTTGCCGATACTGCCTCCCTCCATTTCTAGGGCATCTGGGATGTTCAGGGTGAGCTGCAGCTGCTCACCTTTTTCTCTTTAACCCACTCAGTTATTAAACCCCCCTCAACCAGTGAGCAGCAAAGAGCATTTTGCTCTCGGAAGGGGGCTCAGGTCTGGGTGGGGGGGAGACCTGATCCTCTGATGGCAGAGCCCCAAGGATCCCCGGGGGGACAGCGGGCTTTCTGCTCCTCTTTCCTCCTGTTCCTCCACATACCCATCAGCTCCCACCCTCCTTGACGTTAACCGGGTACAAATTCTGTTTATAACGCATAATTCAATCATTGGCATGAAATGGGGGATACGGCTGTTAAGCAGGGCCAGGCTTGTCTTACGCTGATTAATTCTCTAAATTTCTGGGTAATTGGATTTATTAGGCACATTTCATGCTTACGCAGAACAATTCCTGTTGCTGTGCAGGACATTGCTGTGCTGGCTGGTGGCACCGCTCGGCTGCAGGCAGCTGCTCACTGGGACCACTCTGTGACCCCCTTCCAGTGGGCAGGAGCAGCTGTTGTTGGCTGATCAGCCCCCAGCATCCCGAGGAATTCCTGACAATGTCCTTAATGTGCCAACCTGCAGCATTTGGATGCAGGCAGTGCTTTGCACCAGCCGGGCTGAGTGGGGCAAATAAATACCATTTACTACCCCTACATCTACTACAAGGGGCCGGGATGTCTGCTTTCACTCTGGGTAAGGCACTCTGCTTATTCCTGGCAATTCTGAGCAAGGAGAGCGACGATGAGCCATGCTTACTTTCCAGTGGCAATTTCTCACCTTTCTGATGAATTCTGTGAGGACATTTTTTTCCTAGCCTAGCGCATCATGAGTAATGATGGCTGAGCAGAGACATGGGTGGGTTTTAGCAAGGATTTCCCATGGGTCCCAGATAATGTGGATTAATCAGAGTTGTTTTCCTAACAGTGCCCACCATCCCTGAGGAGGTGCCAGTCATGGTGGTTAACTGAAGACGTTTGATTTATGCTAATTAAATCCCTACAGTGTTGGAGAACACCAGGCAACAAGAGGTCTGCTGCTTGTGTTGTTTTTCTACCCTAGTTCTTGCAAGATTAGGATAGGGTAGGCTAGGCTAGGTTAGGCTAGGCCCTACAAAGATCACCTAGTCCAACTGCCTGACCCCTTCAGGGCTATCCAAAAGCCAAATCAGATTGATGAGGGCATTGTCCAAGTGCCTCTTGAACACTGACAGGTACTGGGGCATCACCCACCTCGCTGGGCAGCCTGTCCCAGTGTCTGAGCACCAGAATACTTTGTCCCCACAGACCTGTAGGTGATAGTGAGACATTTCTGTGCTGCCATCAGCAGTTCCCACATCCCTGGAAGAATCTGAGCAGCTGGAGATGTTCCCCTGATGGAGCCCCGTGCAGCTGGTCCCATTTTTTTTTCCTGCCATGGACTTGGGTGTTGGGTGCAGGGCTGGTTGTGGCTGCCCCCCTACATCAGAAATGCTGTTGATTCATCCACTGGGAAAAGGGAATAGAGGAAAAAAACAAAACAACAAAAAAGACCAACCAAACAGCAAAGAAATCTCAAACCACCCAAGGGGAACAAAGGAAAGATGTTGCTGCTTGTGACATGAAAAACTGGACAGAAAATTGAAGAACAGAGGAAAAGAGAAATGAAAGAAAGCCACTGCCATGTTGTTCCACCGGAGGGATCACATGAAAAAAAAAGATGAAATATGGTGGTAAAGAAATGAGAAAAATGAGAAACAATATTTGTCACTATTTTATCCATCAGGGAAAAAATGATAAGAAATGAGATAAAGGCTGGTGCTGCTTTGCTGCTCTTAAGGAAGGTGACACATGAGGAGCAGCAGTGCGGGGAAAAAAAACTGTCTTCTGGGATAAAATGGGGAAAAACCCTTTCACTTTACCCCAGAGAAAAAGTGAAGCAAAATAAAAGAAATTCTGGGAGGAGTGGGAAAAAAAAAGGAAAGTCCACCATGATTCACTGAATAAAAGAGGAAGTATGAATAAGGTGAGGAAGAATATAAAGAAAAACAATTAGAAATGCTATGGAAGTGAAAAAAATACATTTAATGGCAGCTTTTCTTTGGTGAAAACATGAAGCTGGAACAAAATATTGGAAAAAATGAGTTTTTTTTTTTTTTTTTTTCATTAGGTATGAAAAATATCAAGAGAATCCAAAGGAAAAGGTCATGAATAGAAACACATATTAAACCCTTTTGATGAAAACAGGGAACTGTCAGTAAATGGAGAAGAAAAAGAGCAAGAAAAGAGGTGCTATCTGGCCTTCCCGGGGAGAAAGGAGAACTGGGAAAAACGCAGATGACAACCCTGCCTTCCCCACCAGTGGGTGAGATAATGAAAGCTGCACGTCTCCCCTTCTCCTTGTGAGACCAACAAAAATACAACAAAATGAGGAAAAATCAAAGGAGATTAATGACTCTTCAGTCATCAGGGGAAAAAAAAAAGTCCAGAATAACTGAAAAAAAGAAAAACAAGAAATAAATAAGAAAAGACTCATCTCTTGAGCAAAAATGATGCAATTCCCCTTGAATGTGGGACCAGCACCATGTGTGAACATCATGCCCCTGTGCAAACCGTCTCGAGGGCTTGGCATAGGGAAACTGAGGCACATGTGGTGCTCCCAGCACCCCAGAACAGCCCTAAATCCTACTGGGGTAGGGAGTGGAGGGGATGGACCCTCATCAATTCATGCAAAAAGTCACACTGGGCACTGGTTTAAGAAGGCAAAGACCCTGGGACCTCCTGCCCTTGTCCTCACGCCCTGAGGAGGACAAGCACCTTCCAGTGCTCAGCTATTTGCCCTGCTGCTTCTCTGCCTGCTCTTAACCCCACTGGGAACCTGTTCCTGTTTAATGGTTTCACTGTCAAATGGAAGGCTCCTGGCCATAAAAGCTCCTTAGGGCTCGAGGGAGTGAGAATAATTGTTGCCATCAAAAGAAGAGCCTTATCGCTTAATATTCCAATGCATTCACTGTTTTTTTCCCCATTCTTTCAGCAACTTTAATAAAAACGTTGAAATGATTTTCAAGAGTTGTTTTTACGATAGGCGACCGCCAGTAATAACCTGACACCTGACATATTTCATGCTTGCCGTGCAAGAAGGACTTCCTTTACCCTGCTCAGCACGGCACTTCATACTCCCCTTTACATTTTACGGAGCGCAAAGAGCCCCTGATTTGCAGACAAGAGCCTCTCTCAGCCTGGAAGCTCCTGATTTATGTAAGTCACTGCTAAGGAAATCTGGCACAAGTCCTTGTGTAGTAAAAGCCTACTCTTGCTGATGCCCCTCCTGGCACTTCTGCAACCCTCTCTGGGGTTGCTTTGCTCGTCCTGGAGCTTGGATGCTTGCTCTTGCAAAGGACAGTAAATCACAGCTTCCACCAAATCCTCTCAAAACCAGGGATAACCAACGCACGATATGGCTGTGAAAGGGCCATCACTCTGTGGTGTTATAGTCCAAGCACATTCCTGGGTGCTTAATGGAGGGCACCCACCGTAACGCCGCAGGGAAACACACTTTGTGCTCTGTTAATTCATAGGAGCTCCTAGAAGAAATTACAATCACTATTGTGGTTGTTGTTGTGTGATTTTTTTTTTTTCTAAATCTAATTACCTGCAGAAGATGCATATAATGTCTGTTGGAACTATGCAAAGTTCTTGCTTTAATTAGAACTAGAAGAAATACAGCAATCAGGCAAGCAGTAAGGAAATTGCCGCCTTGCCTTGGAGCTCTGGTTGCAGACACAGAGCCCAGAGGAAGACACAGACAGAGGGAAAATCCTCAGGACAATGTCCTGTGGCCTTTGGCCAGGCACACAGCATCCATCTAGCTTAACACTGGTGGGTTAAAAGCCAGCTAGGAATCAAATCTGGGCACCCACTTTTACTGCAGTTAATGGGTATAGACCGGCTGCATTGGTCGTTGCAGGCAGGTCCTCTTCTTAGCCCCCAAAACTAGCTTATTTGGAAGCTCTCCCGTTTAGATGATCTCCCCTGGAGGCAAATCCCCCTCTCTGGTGGCTGTTTCAGGCAGACAAACCCGAGCCGCAGAGGGGCTGTCCCCCGCTAGGTGGCAAGTTTGCTCCGCGCTCGGCTCTGCTCCTTCACACAGCGCTTGGAAAACTGCAAAGGCATCAGAAAAAAAAAAAAAAAAAAAAAAAAAAGGCAGGCAGGTCCTATTTACTTAGAGACTTAAAGGATTTTTCTGCTGCAAAAAACAACAGGATATAGAGCAGCATCAAGCCCATAAGCCAAAGTGGCAAATGCAGGAGCAGCTGGGCTTTGCTGCAGGGGGACATTTCAGGCTGCAGGGAGGGACGCACCGCTCCCTTCTGGGACTGCTCATACGGAACCATGGCTGAGTATATCCCGAGTGTGACAGGCTTTCTTTCCCCTAGAACACTATTGTTTGCAAAGCATTACCTTATTTATATTTTTATTTGTTTATTACTGCCCGATGGTTGTGGACAGACCTCTGCAAAAGCACCAAGACCTGGCATGGGGAAATAGCAACAGCCAGGGTTCAAATCTCACAGGACATTTCTCAGATGACATCTACAGGATCCAAACCTCGTGTCCGGCACCCAAAAACCAAACCCTTAGCTTTAAGCTTGGGCTTATATGTTAGCCCCACAAAGACAGGATAAGACATAGTTACCCTTGCCCTTGTGGACCACTCCTGTCTGCACGGGAGCTGGTGTTACCTGACTCTATCGTATTTGTGGAGTCCAAGCAAGCAGCTGGGAGAGGGAGTTGGTGTGTGAAACTCTTTATAGTCCTCATTTGTAAAGCAGATGGAAAATGCTCCTGTGTGTCAGGACCCACCCCTTTTAGCAGCACCTGGACTGCAGTGTCCAACGAAAAAAAAAAGAAGAGGATGGAAAAATCATGCATTAAGCACTCTGGTTATGAATCATAATCATCACTGACACTCATGGACTGCTTGTGAGGCTGCTTTTTCGTGCTCTGCACGGAGCAACCCCAAGGAGAAACCGGAGGCTACTTTGTCCTCAGGAGCAGGGGGAGGGAAGCACCGAAAAGGCAGAGGCACCTTTTGTGTGCGGCGACAGGGTGAGCAGAATGCTAATGCAGCAGGAGCTCCTGCTCATACATAGGAAGTGCCTGAAATGGAGAAGCAAAACTCAGCTTTCGCTAGAAACAAATTTCACCGAACAGTTCGAAGCCTAACAGAAATATTTGAAGAGGCTGTAATTGAATTAGGGCTGATGGGGAAAGGCTGTGGCTTGGAGCTGCGAGGGGCTGGGGAGGGAGGTGCAGACTGGGGCCAGGTGGAGGGAGATTTGGGGAGCACAGCTGAAGTTATTTCAGGAGGAGGAGATGGTGGGAGAACACGGAGCTGCCTGTTGGAGAGCAAGGAGGTGTGCTGCTGTAGGACCAGATGTGGCTGAAGGCAGAAGACTGCAATGTCTGTGGGACCAAATGGGGGCACAACAGGCAGCAGCGACCTCCAGCCCAGTGCCAGAGGAGGAGATGGATCCAGGCTCTGATGGTGACAAGGTGGGAGCTGGCAGTCCCAAAGAGGACTTTTAGCCCTATGCGCCTGTCCTGTGACACCAGTGGAGTGGTTGGGCCATGGGGTGAGGAAAAAGCTGTAGCACAGCTGTTTTGGAGGTTGCTTGGTGTTTGCTGAAGTCTTTCTAAGTCCAGCCCCTTGGCCCAAAGCAGTTTATTGTGGCTGGTGTCAGGGACATTGCATTTTTGGGAAATGGGATGAGTTACCTGAAAAGGTGAGGAGGAAGAGGAAGGCTCCTGTCCAGGGAAGGTATCTGTGACTGATCCCTCTCTGGTGCAAGGAGACAGGAGGTCCTTGTGCCAAGCACACACTTTGCAGCCATGCAGGGACCACACAGCTTTGCTCCCCCTGGTTCTGCAGAGCCTACCTGTGGCATCCAAAGCTGACGTGTGCCCACCATATACCTGCTGCCTCATGCCTGTCCCACCAAGACTTTTCTGATACTACCTTGCCACTGTTCCCTTGGCACCACAACATCAGCATGCATGAGCTGGATGTACTGTCACTTCCAGCCACACACAAGCCTACTTTTGTCCTTGAAAATATGAGTTTTGCTGTCTCTGGGGTGACAAACAGCTTCCCAAAACATCATCCACACTGCTCATAGGGCCACTCCTTTCCCCAGTGCCCACTGCTAGCTCAGGCATTGCATGCTGATGGTATTTTCTTTCTCAAACACATCTGAGCAGAAGCCTGTGAGAACAGCTCTAGGGCTAGCTAATAATCTAGACGCAAAAGCATCTAGTGAAGAGGATACAAGTGTAGCAGGGAAGCAGAGCAAATGTTTTATGTCCATGTGGAGGAGCTTACAGGAGTCCCCAGCCCGGAACCTTTCTTTACGGGGGACGAGTCAGAAAATGTGTCTCAAAGTGATGTTTCAGTAGATGAAGTTATAAAGCAACTTGACAAAATAAACGGTAACAGTTCAGCAGCACCGGATGGTATTCAGTCAAGAGCTCTAAAGGAATTCAAGGATGAAATAGCTAAACTATTAACTGTATTAAGTCTACTGTGAAACCTCTCACTTAAAATTTTCTCACTATCAGAGGGCAAGAAAGCAGTGAGACCTTGATTTTACAAAGTGGTTCTGAGCTGATCCAGGAACTGCAGATTAATACTGATCCCCAAATGAGATAGAACTGTGGTATGGGAGGGAATTAGGGAGCATGTGAGTGAGACATGATTTATGGGAAAAGCCTACAAGGCTTTTGAGAATAGAATTCCTACCTTACAAACTCCTGGGAGTTTCTGAAGATTCAGCCAGAGGATCAGACACCATGATGCTCAGTAGGTCCCGTTGATGTAGTCTGCTGGAGTTTCCTGGAGATTTTCAGTAAGTTCCTTAATCAAAGGATCTTAAAGAAATCTTACTGGACCTCAAAGCTGGGAAGAGAAGGAAGGTCCTCCCATAGGTGTGTCTGGTTAAAGGCTAGGAAGCAAAGAGAAGTAGATACAGATCAGCCTTCATGGTGGAGAGCTCCACAAGGCTTAACTCTGATAATGTCTGAAAACTCAGGCTCCAGGTTGGGTCCACAACTGAAATGTGAACAAAGATGAAAAGAGAGACCTATACTTCTTAGCCAGTGCAGGCCATTGAAGCAGCTGTGAAAAATACAGCTGGGGTACCCTCAAACAACAGTCAAGAGGCACTAATGCAACACTGTGCCAAGGGACAACCCTGAGAGCAGCACCAGCATGAGAAGATGAGAATTCCCCAGCTCCAGCAGCCTGTGCCTCAGAGACTTCCTTTGGCCTCTCTTTAACAGCTCATCATTAAATAATGTCTGGCTTTCTCTATTGCTCTTCTCAGTAAATTCTCCAACCTTTCCATGTGCCTTTTGAAGCTGGAATAGGGGCAGGGAAGACCACGATTTTCTGCTTGCAGGTGAACCTGGGTGTTTTACACAGATGGTTTCTGTTTTGTTCTCTGTTCATTCCCAACATTCAGTTTCCTTGGTTTTTGACCTTAGCAGAGAGCTGAACTGACATTTTCACAGAACATTATCATGTACATTATAACCCCAGCTCTTACACCCAAGCGGTAATTTTTCAGAGCCCATTACAGTATATCTGAAGTTAGGATTTGTTTTTCCCATGTGCATCACTTTACATTTATCTGTATTGAATCTCATCTGCCATTTTGTCATCCACTCTCTCAATATTACGAGTTCCTCCTGAAACTCTCTGCAGTCAGCCCTTGCCTTTACTACCTTCAGTAACTCAGTTCAGCAAATTGTGTTATGCTTCCATTAATTTCTTTTGTAGATCATGTGTAAGTGCACTGCGTTAAGCACAGATCCCTTCAAAAAGCCACCTCCTTCCACTCTGGAAACTGAGCACTTAACCCAGTCCTTTGCTTCCTGGCTTTTATACAGACATTTATCTGTGAGGACTTTCTCATGTGGCATCTTAGATGCTCTACAAGCCTTTGTTGGGGACCATTTTCTTGCTTTGGTGGCTTCTTGCAGATTTGTGAGGCCTACTGAGGTGTTTGGCAGCCCCTGGTGAATTTCCCAAATCCTTTCCCCTTTAAGCCAGCGCAAACTTTCCAGCACCCTCAGTATTCTATGGCAAGAAGGTCAACAAGTTTCTTACCTCATGCATGAGAATAAGCTCTTTTTGGTTTGCTTTGACTGAGCTTGATTGCTGCTTGTTTAGTTTGATGCCCCTCATCCTTCCATAGGAAGAGAAAGGAAAAGCTGAGCACTACACATCCTCTTAGGGTTATCATGGGTTTCTTGAGTTCTTTCATATGTCTACTCAGGCAATCTCTCTTCTGTGCCGAAGGGTCCTGTTCTCCAGTTTTTCTCACACAAAAGCCATTCCAGACCTTTGATCACCCTCTTATGTTCTCTGATGCTTTCCCAGCTCAAGCATGTCTGAGATGAGGGGATCCCAACCCCGTGCAGAAGCTAAGGTATGAGTAACCCAAGGATTTATACGGTGGTGAAACTACATTTTCTCTTGATCAGATAATTTACCATTTTCTGTGAGTTTTTCAATGAGGCCACAGATAACGTGTTACCGACATAGATGACCCGTTTGACATTTTTAGATGATTTCTTACAAATGGCCTTCCTCCGCCTTCGGTTAGTTTTGGAGTCCTCGTGTCAAATGACTCACTAACATTCTCGTCTCCTGGACCTGCTTGGTGATCGCATCCCTGTGATTTGCAGGTCTCACCCTGCAGTTCCTCCCTGACATCCAAAGAGCTATGTGCTGTCTTCCTCCCCTTGCCTCATAATTTCAAAGCATTTGGGCTCACATCCCCCTTCCAAAACCAATTTGCAGGATTATCCACTCTGTTGTTTTGCTCCAGTTTAGGAAGCAAGCTGATTTCGTTACTAATGTTGTCCAGTTTTAAAGAGTGACCATGAAGTACTAAATCACGGATTTAGTTGCAGTAGAGAAGACTGATGCCCACAAGTTGTGTTCTGACTCGGGTCATCTTTCTTTGGACACAATGATGCTGTAGGTTGAGCTGCTTTATTCGGTGCCTGATGGGTTAGCTCAGGCTTTTTATAACATTTCAGTGGTCATTTGCAGTAGGACATGGTCTCTCACCGGAGGTCAAAGGAGATTACTGCTGAGCACTTTGCTCTGAATAGAAGCAAGGCTGTGTGTGCAGACAACTGACTTGACAGGAGGAGTGCTGGTGATGCAATTAGGAATAAAGCTCTAATACAAATTATTGTGAGACAAGAAAGTGACTCTGTCTGGACAGAACACTGTTGTTCTTCAGAAAGTAGATGCCTGACTGACCTCTGTTTCCATCCTCAAGGCGTTCCATTTTTTATTTTTTTTTTCCCAATGAGATATTAATGGCTCCTTTTAAATCATTGAACTGGATGGTTCTTTACCAAGTGACAAATTACCCATAAAAGATCTTACTGAAAGCTTCTTCCAGAGTCAAAGAATTGATTTCCGGATATCTCAGCGCTTCCTCCATCTTCTCGCAGACAGCAGTACTCCGGGACTCCTTGTTCTTTGAGGCACTCGAAGTACCTGATAACAAGGGAGCACATCTTGTCCAGGATTGTGGGCACGGTGCACGTGGGCCGTGGAGGCTGGCTGTCATTATTCTGTTAATCTCACACACTCGGGGCCAGGGCTGTTCAGAGCTGACATCCTTCCTGCTATGGTGCACGTGGCCACAGTGGGCCAGGCGTCACGAGCTGTGAAGGGATGAGTGCCAGTAAGGGAGAGCACCTTTCAAGTCATCTGTGTATCCAGCTCCTTGCCCATGTTTAAAATACATTTGAAATGAAGAAGCCAACCCTGGAACAAAATGTGTTCACTGTTCAAAGAGCTGTCTGAAGCTCTCATCTAGATGATTATTGATGGTATACACCAATCATGCGCAGTGAGCGTAGTGCTGAAGGAGCCCAGTGGAACAGCAGCAAAAGCTTTTATTTATTTTTATTTATTTATTTATTTTCTGTATGTATGCAGCTTTCTCCTTGTGAGACACAGGAATACTTTCAAATGAAGCCCTTTGGCTCTGAACTGCCTTCAGGACTGCTTGATTTATGTTGCCTCGTGTAAGCTTCTGACAGATACAGCTCCAGCCAGCCACATGCACCCTTTCTTTGAGATGTGATCAAAA